GATGTTGCAGCAGCTTGGCAGCGCATCCTGGAATTTCTATAGAAGTGTCAATCAAATACAGAAATAGGAGGGGGGTTGATTGAATTAAAAAGAAAAATAGATTGTACAACAGCATTAAGCCCTGTGCTTATTTATTTTCATCTTACATACAATTTGTATATTCTTCTCCCAAATGTTAATGGGGGCTGCATACTTTGACACCCAATGTAGCAGAGCTTTTGTAACTTGAAAGCCATTTGGAATTGTGGAAAAAGCTCATTAACTGCAAGGTTTGGTTGGTTTTTTCCTCTGAAATGCTTAGCAATTAAATAGTTAACACCATCGATGCTTATAAGAGTGTTAAATCCTTACATTTTAGAGCTAACAGCCCATCAACCTGGTTTGAAAGCTTGCCTGTCTCAGGACCACTCTTACCAGGCTGGCTGCAGGCAAACACAAATATGTGTTTGCTCTTGAAGACTTCCCAGGTTTTCTATGCCATCGGGGATCCCACAGCTAAGATGATACTTTGCAGCTCGTATTTCCTGGCACTTAATTTAGGGAGCTAAATTTCATAACCCCTATTGGCTTGAACTTCGAACCTGGATGGTGCTGGATAGTGCTGCAATGTATTATTATTTGATTTATTTTGCTGTTAAGTGCCTTTGGATTCTCAAAAACAGCTTAGAGAAGAAGCTGAAAATCTGCCACTCACTTTTCCCCCTCACCTTCCCCCTGCTTTCCTGTTGGAAAATAATAGCCTATTTAATAACAGCACCATTGCTAACAGCACAGTAGTAGCACTATTGCATCAGGAACTTCCAGAACTTTTATACTTTCTCTATTTAGGCCCTGATTTTATGAAGACAATCATAGACTTTCTTCTCCATATGGTAGCTAGCACCATCAACTGCACAGGGCATGACAGCTCGTGAAAGAAGTATTCGGTAATTCTGTACAAGCTCAGAATTTTCTATTGTAAGCTCTTTGGGACACCAGTTATTTTTAATAATTTGTCTGTGTAGGCATCTCTGTGCATGTGTGTGTGTGTGTGTGTGTGTGTGTGTGTGTGTGTGTGTGAGATATGGAGCCCCCAGCTGTATCTCATCCACAGAAGATATGCAATTCTTATAGCTTCCAGCTAGGCCTGTGCGAAGCGGCAAGTATTCACTTCAGATTTGGATTCGGCCAATTCGGAGGACAGTGATTCGATTCAGAGATTCGAATCACTGTCCCAATTCTATTCAGCCAAATCAGAGCCGAAAGATCTGGCGCCGCTTTGGAGATTTGGCCGTAGACTAAACAGGCAGCTGACAAGTCTGTCTGGCAGGGAGGGCTTGGGGCTGGGGCCTGGACAAGCTGTCTAGCCAGGGGGGGAGAGCGCATTACTCAGGG